ATGTTGTAAGGACAATGTTATGCAGACAAGATTTTGCTTGTAAGGAAAAAAAAAACAAGGAATGGCTCCGTGTCCGAATTTTTGAGGGTCCGGGAGTCATTTAAGTCAGAAAACTACTCATATATAAGTCAGAAAACTACTCATATATAAGTCAGAAAACTACTTAGGAAAAAAATTATATTTTGAATTCAAATTAAAAGCAGTTATGCTTGATCATGTCTAACACCTAACATCAAACCAACTATTAGAGTGCATAAACTGCCAGCCACAAGCATTATACGTTATCATAATTCTCTATCATACTTACCTTTTATAAGGGTCAGTACTTGTCCGCACTGAGCGTCTGTACTGGAGACGTAACTTTGTTTCACTGTTAGGACTCAACCTTAAGTATTGGATAAATAAGATGCATGTAAATAAGTTTCAACATAATATCAGATCATCTTCTACCAATCATCAACAAATTTTAAAGTTATCATATATCTTATATGTAATTTATATATTGGCAGCTTTTTATTGCTGAGTACAATGAAAGTACAGTGAAATTTATTTTAAACTTGTCTCATTTTTTCAAAAAGTGGATCTTGGTTAAACAAACCTTCTATCTTCATTTTTCATATATTCTTGGAGAAACACAATAAATTCTCCTATATTTTGTCTGAAAAAGACCCCAAAAAAGCAAACATTTCAGCATCAGCTTGTTTAATTTGTATGAAATTCAGGTATCAGGATTAACTATCAAACAAGCCATTTGTTTAACTGATAAGAAATAAAATACAATCAAAAAAGAAAATGATTTAAAAGTCAGTTACTGTTCTAAATACTGGTAGACTAACAAACAAAGTGAAGGCCAACAAAGGTCAACACTTAGCAAAGAAGGTCAACTCACTGAGCCTGTTGTGCCACATGGAGAGCTGCGTTGAGGTCACCACAGCGAATACAGTAATACATCATAGCCCACACTGGGTGTCCATCTACTACACCATCCTGGAATTATAACACACAATATAACACATAATATAACAATTATACCACACAATATAACAATTATCACTAAGGTCACCACAGTGGAAATAGAAACTACTGACATTAATATAAAACAAAGAATACGACAAACAGCATATGACAGCATAATACACAAAAGCACTCATCATAATATAGTAAGGGTCCCTCTCAGGACTAAAAAACAAAATAAATCACCTGACAAGCTTATCAAAACTTTGAGGGTCATTTTAAACCTGAATTAAAAAGAATGGAAGGCTATTTCTACATCAATACAAAACACTGCTTTAGAAGATAAGTTATTTGCTTCAGATTGACAAAAACATCAAAACAGCTGCAAAAAGGGTGTCTCGCTGAACAATCTGCAGTTTCACCCAGCAAAACATCAAAGCATACCTCTAGTCCTGGAGTGGAGTGCGGCAGACGGACGTTAAGAAAACTCCTGACCAGGTGGTAAGTCCCTGGCACTCCTCCTAGCTGTGCCTGCTGCAGGTTCCCATACACTGTGGCTGTGATGTACTTGTGGTAGCTGGAAGATGGAGGAACAGTAAGAGGAGGGAGATAGACAGGCAGTTTGTGATATAAAATAACAACACACAGTGGCTGAGATGTACTTGTGGTAGCTGGAAGATGGAGGAACAGTGAGGGGAGGGAGACACGAAGGGAATCAGATTTGTGGGTTGCATGTGGTATGTAACAATAACAGATATTCATACACATATATTTTAAACACCTTTTTCACTCTAAAAAAAGTTTTAAGGTGCATAAGTTCATCAATTCTCTGCAAATTGAGTACCTGGTATATATTTTAATAATATAATCTTTCATTTACTCATTTCAACTCTATATCTCAAAGTCTTTCAGTCATGCATTTCCTTTTTGCAGCACTGTAAACAGAAAAAAAGTTACTTTTAATACCGTTTAAATTGGTCTGGTGGCATGATTAAGATATAAAACGGTCTTTAGTTAACACCTGTCTGATTGGACTTAAAAAAGGATGGTCACACCTTTGTTCCAGGTATTTCTTGGCTTGGTTTACAAATGCCGTCTGCATCCTCTGGGTGCTGCGGGACGAGATAATGCTACTACTGGTTGCCATGGGAACATCAGTCATCAATTTCACCATCCTCCAGATTTCTGTGATATTCTAAATTAAAAGAGTTACAGACATTGCACTGAAAGAGTTACAGAAATTTCACTGAAAGAGTTACATTCCACTAAGCTGAAAATACCACGTTCTACTTATGACTAACGATTGAATGCTCTCAGACAAAAAATTCTTTTTTTTTTCTGAAATAAAAAATGAAACTGTAGACACTGTATTCCAAATTATGAAAAGAAATCTTAACACAGAAGGAAGAGTAATCTTTATTTTCAATATTTTGTAAGAAAATTAAACAAAACAATAATTATTGCTACATTCTGAAAGACATCAATAGATAAATAAGAAGACTTCCCATCAGAAAAATCATGTCCTGACATACTACAGTATTACACATTCACGTAATTTACCAAAAGGTGAAATTACTCACATCGTCATCTAGTTTGTTTCCCACCTCAGCAAACATGTCAACCAGGCTGGGTCTGATACCTCCTTGAACTATCTGTTCATTGTACTGGTAGACCTGCAAGGAAATTGTATTATTTTGATTGAAAATAAATAAATAAACAAACAAAAAAGTAACAAAGAAAGAAACAAAGAAATGAAAAAGAAAGAAACAACAAACAAACAAAGAGAGGAGAAAAGAAAAAACCTAATCTTTCTGAATTTTAGGCTATATTTCCAAAATTTGCCACATTTACAGACATGCTGAAAACTTTTCAGAATGGCCGGACATTTGCACCGGCAGTAATGAAAAATTTGTCGGACCGAATGGATTTTTGTCGGACCAAAAATAACTCTATTCGTTTGAGACAGATACAGTTAGGGGAGCTTACTTTTGTGAATGTGATAGGTATGAATTGGAAGGGACAAACGCTTTGGGTTTTATATAATTTTATCAGTGAAGTATGTTGAATGATGACTGTAAATTCAAAATTGCGGCTCTTAAAACTCTTGTTGGTCCTTTGGACCGACCAAATCTAAATTTTTACCGGTCCAGACAAATTTTCTCGGTCATGACCGATCTGACTGACAGTTTCAGCATGTCTGCATTTACCTTATTTTATGATTGATAATTATCAAGGACAATAATTATTATATAGTATATATGTAAAAATGAGTATCTTACTTGTCTGGCATATGCCATCTCCACATTATCCATGGCACTTCTTCCCTGCATGTTGATACTGTCCCCAAGTATAGACTACAATGATAGATATATAACACATACCTTAACATACTGCATAGCAATTATATTAATATATTATATTATAATGACATTAAACCATGGCAACAACGATATTTTCAAAATATGAAAACAAAATTATATTCATGTTCATTATGATTAAGTCAACAAGTACATTAAGTTCAGTGCATGGATTTTCATTAATTTATGTCAAAGTTGTAATTCTTGTTGGAACAAATCTTAAGTTAATATTAAGAATCTTAGGATGTTTTGAAGATGATGACAAACTGTGTGTTAAGGTTGTGTATATCTTAAAACTGAATGGGTAGGTAAGCGGATTGACAGTTTGCTTGTGGTGCTTATGACCACTATTTTTTACATTCATACCATGAAACTGCGGTTTGAGTTGGTAATTCAGTCAGGGTGGTTCCGTTTACAAGACTAGGGCTCAAAATTACAAAAGACTCTGTCGGTTTATTGCTCCTACCTCCTGTTCCTGTGGAAAGTCCAGTGTATCGTGTCCTGTTCCTATCAGAGCATTGAGGATCTTCTGTTTCTCTCTCTCCCACTCATTAACAAGACTATCCCAGTGTCTCTTCTCTGCCTCCTCTAATGTCTGTAGGATAAAAGACAATAGTTAATATTATATGAGGATCTTCTGTGTCTCTCTCTCCCACTCATTAACAAGACTATCCCAGTGTCTCTTCTCTGCCTCCTCTAATGTCTGCAGGATAAAAGACAATAGTTAATATTATATGAGGATCTTCTGTTTCTCTCTCTCCCACTCATTAACAAGACTATCCCAGTGTCTCTTCTCTGCCTCCTCTAATGTCTGTAGGATAAAAAACAATAGTTAAATAAATATTATATGAGGAGAACTTCATGTAGTATCTATCTACATTTATTATGGATGAGGGCCAAGAAAAATTAAGCTGTCTCAATGTCTGTTCTCTGCCTCTGTCATTGTCTACAGGATAGAAGACAATAAACCCCTTTTAGATGACAAGTTATTATTATATATGGAGTAATAATAGTAGTGGTGTCTATCTGGTGGAGAAAAATTGGAGATTGCAGATGGCACGTTTACAGACATATTGTAAAAATAAAAAGATAATGTCTAGATAAGATCGATGGTGAAAAAGTTCAAACAGGAAGGCTCAGTAAAAAGTGTGATATAATGAAAATTGTCTAGAGTTAAATTTTTACTATTTGTTCTGCGATTCTTTACTGGACAACTAAATGTCAAAATGAATGTTCACCTGGGTTCATTATGACATGACTCAATTACAGTTAGTCCATCTTTCAGGCAAACATGATTTCTTACATTCTTTTGAAAAACAATGGATATGTCATGAGAAAACCAAACAGCCTCACTACTTGTATAGGTACCACACTAGCTAATACACCTACATTTTGCAGTGGTAAATGCTTTTGGAAACCAAACTTAGGTAAGTCCAATCTGTTCCTTCTTGACGTAGCCAACTTACATTTTTCCTTGTCTGCTCTATAACTGTTAACAGGGCATTTTCGCGTTCATTCCTCAGAAAACCATGGATGTCAGTGTCTCGGACTGGTTCTAGAGGCTCAAAAGTCCTTGCCGCACTTAAACCTTCCAGTTTCTGTGAAATTCTTGGAATGTCAAAACCCTTTGATCCCAGTAATATTGACCTGAAAGACAAGACGTCGGTTATTTACAATACACAGATATCACAGCAATTATGACAGCTACTGAAATCCACTGCTACTGTACTGGTATCTAACATAACAGACAATTCTTTGAAAATACATACTTATTTACATTAATTTACAATGATTTTGAGCCTGTATATCTGGCTTTAAAAAAATTAAAGAAGAACAAGCTCAGAATGGCAAAAAGCACTTCTTATAAAATAATATAATCATTTGTTATCAGATAAAAATATATATATATATATATATAAAAAGATTGAACACATCACTGTGGAACAGTAAGCTATAAATTCTGTGTGTAAGGTTAGAAAGCACCCTACGCCTTGACATCTGAGGCATCCTGGCTGGTCTGAGCCGTCCTGGTCAGCAAGCGATGACCCGCATCCATTATCTGGCGGATACTTCTCTCCACTTTGGGCAGCTCTGCCCCGCAGTCCATCTCCGCCGTCAGCTGCTCCGCCTGCTGCAGCAAGTCGCCAAATCCTGCACTCCCGTCCATGGTGATGGCGACTGAAACTAAATAAGTTAACAAATCATTATTTTTATTATTTCCACTGTTAGAAAACAAATAAAAACATATAACGTTTCATTTCTCAGGGCTTGACATTACAGGTGGCCCACTGGCCCTGGGCCACTGAAAACCAACCTAGGGCCATTGAATTGATGGGGTCACTGGCCCAAAGAGCAAGTAAAATGTCATGTGTCAAATCATCCTTGCAATATTTACCGATATCTCGGGCCAGTTAGGAAAATAGATAGTGTCAAGCCCTGTTTCTCATTCACTGTCACAGTTTAATTTCAATCTCAACACTAATACACGTACGACCCAAAGTCCTATAATCATATAATGTCATTATTTGCAGGATTCGAAAAGGAATTCAAACCTAATAGCATGATATAATTTTTCAGGGAAAGGCTTCAATAAAATTTAAGAGAAAATACTAAGGTACTAATATGAAAAGTAATCAAAAAGTAATTCTTAAAGTAAAACTGATAGTGCTGCAGTACAGGAATAACAATATCAACATTAACAGAAAAATCGAGAAGCACACAACTCATTTTTGAATAACAAAATAAACAGATTTTTCCCATATTAAGTAAGTATTAATATACAAGAATCTGATTTACCTGAAGTATATACGAAATGTTATTTACAACAAATAATTTAGGTTTTGGTTTCTCAGTGATGAAAAAAGCGCCAAACCGGAAGCATGTTTTCGGCTACACACTGCGCCTGCTCAGAACTTCTCGATGAAAAGGAGAACCGAAAAGTGTGTTGTGTTTAAACACGAGAGAGAAGACAGCGTTTCTCTGCTGCTAAAAACGAGATGTAAGCGTCTCTTTCCTGTCTGATGTAGCTATGTTGATGGTGCTCCGCCATGCCATCTGGTCAAGAATCGGTATTGTCAAGAGGGGAGCAGATGCTTTCTGCAGGTAATCTGAAAAACCATCCAAACTTCAACCAAAAAGATCGACTTGTCTTGGCTGGGAATTCTTACCCGAATCCCTCACGTGCCTATTTTACTATTTTTAGATATAACGATAATTAGTATTCCGATAACTCTTTCTGCTTCATAAGTGGCATTCAATGGCGTTAATTTCAATTTCAATTGCACCTTTTAAAATCAATATTTTAATGAACACTTAGAGTAAACATAAAAAGTTGATGAACGTATGTGATTACATAATTACAGCCCTTCCCCCCAGAAAAAAAGAAAAAAAAAAAAAAAAAAAAGAACGTTCTAAAGAAAGGTTGAAGTCTCATATGTGTATGTATGTATACTTCTGCTAACTGTTCAGAAATGCAAACAAATAAATAAAATTAAATAAAAAAGAAATTATTTCAAAATATATGGGAAACTGAAGATTCATTTGAAGTTCAAAACATAAACTTGAGACATTGATGTATGAAAAGGTATAGTTTTCATTCCAGCATCTAGCTGTTCGTGAACATATGGATTATGGATTATGGATATTTCTAGATGCATTTATATCATTTGAGAATATTTTGAAATAAAACATTTGCTTCTTTTCATTCATGTTATGTCATCTATTTGGCATGGCACATGATAACATTCAGATGGTGCTTGTTTCTTTCATGTTAGGAGCTCTCCGACCCCATCATTTGGAGTTAATATTGCTGTTGCTGCAGGAATCAGATGTGGTCATCGCAGTTTCTTGACAGCTGGTGAAGCAGCCATAGCACTGAGGCCATTTTATTTTGTGGTGCACCCGGACCTGTTTGGGCAACATCCGAGAGAAAGGGTGAGAATTTGAGTTAAAGTGAACAAGCTCAGTTATGATCTGGCATCTGTGTGTGAAAAAAGGAAGAGTTGTTTATCTGAATGTTTCTGTATAATTATACCAATATAATTCTTCTTAAACGAAAAAATTTTTTTCATATGAGTATATTTTGTTTGGTTTAGGGTAATATTATTTATATTTAGAGCTTATTTCTAAGTTTGAAGTTATTGGCCCCATTCAGAATAGGGGACTAACTAGCCCAAGGGTCAAATATGGCTGACTCACTACAAAGCTTGCCGTCTAATCTGGACAGTAATAGACACTGAATACATATCCTGTGGGGAAGTATTCAAGTGGGTCGGCCATATTTGACCCTCGGACTAGCTAGTCCTCTATTCTGAATGGGGGTCTTGAAAAATGCCCTTATTGTTGTAACTACTGTTTTCCAGTAAAATGACAAATTTTAATTTTCTTACCCACTGTTTTCTCCAGGCAGTCAATGAAGAGTCTCTGAAGCAGCTCAGGGAATTACTGGACAACATTCAGATTGGACAGACGTTCCAGCCTAGGAGAATAACTTTCTATGTCAGAGAAGGGAAGAAAGGAAGCAATTCTGCCAATGCAGGTGCTGTTGTTTTTTCTTGTAAAAAAATTTTTTTAATTCAGTTATTTTTTGAAAGTGTTTTAAATTGTTTTATCCTTTTAACAAATTTAAATTTAAACTGGTTTGAATAATATTATTTAACAAACTTAATATTCATGTAGGGATTGCCATATTTGGTCAGCAGATCAGTAGATCTGAGGATCATCTGCAGTGAATGCATTCTATTCGTTGATTATTTGTCATTTGTCTCTCAGGTTTCAGGATGGTGACCACGCCATTATTGAGCAATGATATGTATAAGACAGTGGAGAGCGTACTGCAGACATGTCAGCTGCCATTGGACTTTTTACACCAGATCAAGGACAGAAGGTCAAAGGTCAGACAAGACAAGCCAACCCAGAGTCAGTACACAGCCAGAGATTACAGCAATGAGTTCTTACGGATGTATGGGCCAGATAACCCAAACAGTGCGTACTTCAGAAAAATGAAGATGAACCTTTCTCTCAGGTGTGCCATGGGTGGATATCAATAAAAGCAAATTTCAAAAATGAAAAAAAAAAAAAAAAGAAAATCCTAGAAATATATTTAAAGAATCATGATTATAAGGTAATGTACAAGAAAAAAAAGTTAAAATTTTGAAATTTGACGTGCAAGTCTATAGCAGGGGTTACAGCTCCATTTTTGTTTTGATCTTTCAAAGATTTTTGAAAGTTTTTAAAGTTGTCAGACCAGTCACAATGTAAAAAAAGCTTCAGCCCACACTTAAGTGGCAAATACACTATATATACACAATGTTTGTGTGGACTTTAATAAATAGTTAACATTTCTATTTTTGATTTCCCTGTGTAGAAGTTGGCTAAGGGCCAATGTACTAAAAGCACAGAGCAACCAGCAGTTACATGATGCGATGAAGAAGTATAACGCAGAGATATGTGCTGCCCTCTGTGAAGAGTTTGGATTGGCTGATGTCCAGTGGAATTGTATTTGGAGCGATCGTTTTCTGAAGGGTTGCATCGTCAGCTTTAGAAGAATGTGTGAAAGAAATGTTCATATTCGTAATAATTTAAAAGGTATATATTTTTACCATGACAGCAGTTATATTTTGTTTATGTTATTTTCGTTTTTAGTAGTAATACTTTGCAGTATATAAACATTTCATGAATATAGAACAGTGACATTCCAACTGCATCTCTCTCTCTCTCTCTCTCTCTCTCACACACACACACACACACACACACAGATCAATTAATACCAGTTATTTCCTCCTCCTCCAGGTCACGTGCTGGTGTTTGCAGAGGCCACAGGGATGTGCGTGGAAGGTCATGTGATCCTAGACGCCAGAGACGTCCCCAATGATTGGATACACGTAGGTTGACCTCAAGTTCACATTGGGTGTCATTAGTCTATTTTTATGTTGGAGTAGGTAAAGTACTGGGTAGTATAGTTCAGGAAGAATGTGTCTTCAAGAAGATAATATTGGACATTGATAGGTGGTGAGGAGAGATATTGATACATGTGTTTATGTGATCATGGTTGAAAAGTTCCTGTCATGAATGTTTTTGAACTTCCTTAGTTTTATTTCTTGAGATGTTCAGAGAAGATATTGAAGATCTTAAGTTATTGTTGAAAAGATTTTGATATAGTAGTGGCAAATACTTTTACGTTGTGCTGGTAAATTCATGGGTTATGCAGTTAATATGGGCGTTAGTGCTAAAAGATCTGGTGGTAGTGGTAGTTCATTTATAAGGCTACATACAGTAGGGGTCATATAAAAGTAAGAATGGAATGCCCCTGTAGAATTCTGTATCACAGTTTATTTGTTGGAGTGGACAACAAATAGTAAAAGGAAAAAAAGAAAAAAGAATCTAACATCCAGTGTATAATGTGTTGTGATAATATATCAGAGCTGTTAGAGAGATTTATTATTTATAACATGAAGATAATTTTAAATTTTGGTATCCGTTTTTGAAATCCTGTTCAGTGAATGTGAAAGAAAAGATTTGGTAAAAAGCACTTGTTTATTACTTGTTTATTAATTAATTAATTAATTAATTAATTAATTTTGTTCTAAGACCCCATTTCCAGAGATTAGATCGATCCTGGGGGTTCACGCTAAATAGCTGTCAGCCAAGCGGACACGAAAGTTAATTACCCCCTTACAGCTTGTAGTAGGCGGGACGGACATTTAAGCCGGATTATCTGACAGTAATCTAGTGAGACTCCCCGGGGGGATAGATCGATCTAAAAGCTCTGGGAATACAGCCTAAGATTGATCTCCATTTCTACTTTTTAGCTTCTCTCCTCGCTCAATGAGTACAAAGAAGGATTTGAAAAAAATGTCCGGATAGCAGAAGAGAAGCTGAGCAAGCTGTTACATGGACTGAGAGTTCTACCTCGTCATAAAGGTGCTGCACGTATAGTATTAGTCCACGAGTATTACAATAGGGTCATGATGTTGGAGGAGATGCTGAGACAGTATAAAACAGAGATCGGAGTCAAGGAACTTCTTCCTAAAGAAATGAGTGATTTAGATATGGTGCTGGAAGGGTAAGGTTATAGCTGAGAATTCAAAAATAAAAGGTTTTAAGCATTTGATGATGAGGACAGTTTAACTTAAAGGACTTTTATTATAATGTATCATTATTATATATTATAATATATAATATATAATATATATTATATATTATAATATATGTCATTTGAATATAATTTATGTTTGAGGAAACTACCTTATTAATGACACAAAAGATTCTTCACTTATCTGAACTGCTTTTATGTTTCACACCTGCCGAAATGTACCAAAGTTGTTTCCTGTAGTATTTACAGATATCAACTGTTCTCCCCTCCTGGCCAATCTGTTAAATGACAATGTTTCAAATAGTATTAAATACATTTAATTGATAGGTTGTCTCAGATATTCTGTTATTATTTATATATACAGGCTCACCTGACCAATCATGCATTCTATATTTGTATCTCCAGGTTGTCAGGCTCTCTGTCCGTGTCCACTACAGGGTCATTTGTGGTGCCAATGGGGGTCAGTCCAGAACGTTTGCTGACCTTCCTGAGAGACAAGACTGGAGTGGCCAGACAGACCAAGGCAACTCACCAGAGGTAGTCAGTGATGGCAAAGAGTTTTTGATGCATGTGAAGCTGCATTCACAATCAGTTGACCTGCAAACTAACTAGGCCGCGGATCAAAAATGGCGCACACTTGAATGCAAGCCATATATCCCCTAACAATAACATAATTGATTCCCTGCCCCTCCAGCACACCGTCCCAGCAGGGGCAGAGCAATTAATTCTTGGCACATGCTTCCAAGTGGGTTGCGCCATATTTGATCCATGGACTAGTTACTCCAGTGATCAACTGGTTTATTGCTCCCTTAGTGGGTGAAATGTCCTATTTGCAGGTTGGCTATCTGTATGGGAATGGATAACATAGTTTAGATGGCTTACTTATTGCTCATTCTTTTTAGAGCAGAAAATCAATTTAATGTGACTTTTAAAGACCCATTTTGGTCTTTGTAGTCTTCTTCAGAAGTGGATTGCTGCATAAAAGGGAATTTTTTGGTATACATGAATAAGGTACAGTGATGCCTATGATTACACATGTATAGGCAGCCATTTTCTTATTTCTTTTATAAACAGGATGTTAATTCATTAATTATCATGACATAATTCATGATTTTATTCTTTGCGATGCTGATTCTACTCTTTTGTGTAACCTCATCTTCGATTCCAATACTTTTTCTTGACAGGCTCAGGGAAAAGGAAGAATCTTTAATCGTGGAGTGTCAGAGAGAATTTCAGTTGGCCAGTCTAGTGAAGGACATCAGTGTGTCTTCTGAACAGATGGTGGTGTGTTGTGAGGCCTTGTTACGAGAGCCGAGGGAAATTAACCGACCGTTGCCTGGTGGTCACATACAGGTGTCGCAGTATTACGACGTGAACTACGAAGGAGAGCTATGTATTCCGTGGAACTGGGCTTCCCTTGGCAAATGATGGACTTTCTGGGACTTACATGCTATTGTTGATTATTATGTTATTACCAAATATTCAAAAATTGTTTTAGAGATATCAATTGCAGGATTTTGACGCCTTAAGTGGTTGTGGGATTTTTTCATCACGCAGGGTTCTGAATTAGAAAATATTAATACCATATAAAGTAGGTTAAATTTATAGTCCATTTCATTTTCTTTGGCAACCAAAAATATAAAAAGTGATATTCAGTTCTTGCAAATTAATAATTATTTTGCTGGTCGTGTGCTTTTGAACAATTTGACAGGTAATCAATTAAAGAATATTGACATGGGTAAAGTCCTACAAACTGAAAATCAAAGCTTGCAATTTCTCAGCGCTTTTAGACCATAGGAAACAAAAAGAAGAAAATGAGAACTGAAAATTCTGAAATCAGGCACAATCCTGAAACCTTTTCATCAGTGTATTGAAGACCATGACAATCCCTTTTTTTCTGCAATTTTGAACCAAAATTGGTTGCAAAATGGCAAATTTTTTTTTATTGAGCTCGAGTCAATACCCGTTTGTGGTCCATGTCATTTTATTACAGTTGTCGGTATGCAGTTGATGTTATGATGACATATGGCCCATCTGACTGTTTTTATTATGCAATTCTTCTAAATAGAAATAAGATCTGTCCATTCGTATTATAATATTAGTGTGATACACCAGTTACTTAGTTTAACTAGAGCCGAGGGGTTCTAGGAGTGTCCGGCCAGTTGCTAAAATGCCAGTTACCATGTGCAGAATGATTTTATGATGAAATTGCTCACTTTTAAGACTTTTTTTTTTTTGAAAAATAAAGTGATTTACTTGAATGTGCTGTTTTGTTTTAGTCACAACAAGGATGCACATTGCCAGTTAAAAGATTTGCTGATTTTTTCCACCACAACCGGCGCTCACTATGGTCAATTGACTTTGTAACTGTTAGAAGTTGTTAATAATTTGGTCAATGTTAAGGATTGTATTTCTTTTGATAAAGTGCTTCTTGACAAAGCACGCATGTTTCATTGGCCCTCAACAAGACATGATTTTGGTGGTTTCACGATTGGAGATCTGGGGGTATTTCCAATAATTTTTTAAAAATTTTACTGCTCAAACATGGCCACAACTTCCAACATCTAAGAGAAATAACCAAAATTCCAACACTAATATGGTTGTTAAGATTTCACGGGCACTTTATTGTCCATTAAATGCCACAGATGTTACAGAATTGTGATGACCTGCTCCTGTACGTGAATATCACATACAAAATTTAATGAATGACTTCTTACCACATGACACCAATCACCAACTGGTAGACTGGCATTTCTATGTATTTATCCATAAAAATTCTTTTCACATATTTTTTCTTTTGCTAATCAGACAAGTACAAAATGAGGCCCATCTTGCTCAGTGTCACCACCTACAGTCCATTTCATTATCAATCAAGATTGACAAGTCTGTGCAATGATTGGTTTAACTATGTAAGCCGTTTAGAAAAAGATGTATCTACACTTGAAAATTTACAATATATACAATAACAACTGGTTTCAGTGAATGTTTCTTAGGCAAAAACTAGTAGTATTTTTCTACTATCATAAGCCAAATCCGGCATTCAAGTAATATGAATTCTTTATGAATACATAATAAAAATTATATGATATAGACTGTGCATGCAATGAAGTACTTCTGGGGAAAAAAAGTACGATAAGAACCATTTTGGAAGTCCAGGGAATGATGGTGAAGAAGGAAGAGATGTAAAATTAGCCAAGTTGTGAAATAAAATATAGACTCCCATTCTCCTATGCACATAAAAAGTACAATTCTCAGCAAAAACTGAGGTCAAAGTTTAATTTCCTTGACAAATCTATTATCCTTCAATTTCAGAGAAAAAATTCATAGTGAACCAATAAACATACTTGACTAAATACTATGAGCAGGAATTGGGGTTCATACATCTCTGTCAAGTGTAATTATAATTAGTAGTAATGACAAATGAATTACATACAATTTTTTTCGGAATATTTCTCTATTTTAAGATGTGTAAGCTCAGTTATTCTTTACACAAAAAGCCCCTGGCATGAAGACTTCTAATTCTGTTTATTCTCTCATTGTCTTAACCAGGTTAAACATTTGTGAAATCATGATTAGTTTTGTAAGTGTACTATCTGGGGTCTAGATCTAGGGGATACAACCTTGAGGGATCAAACCAGCAGTTTCAGATATAAACCATATTGCATTTGTGAAATGAGAATCGTACTAACTGCATTCATAACAGTGGACTAACTAGTCCCAGAGTCAAATATGGCCGACCAACTTGAATAATTCCCTATGGGGAATCTATTCAGTGTCTATAAGCAGATAAGATGGCAAGCTTTTTGGTGGGTCGCCATATTTGACCCTCAGATCAATTAGTCCAACGTTCTGAATCCGTCCTAAGAACATAAATATATTGCTTAATGCATTAATCTTACCAAACAAACATTATGCACACTACAGTGTTTTACATGAATCAATGGGTAGTAATGTGCTTCTCTGGGCCCACTGGTTTTTTCACAGTGAAAATAGACGTCCACACAATTCCCAGCTTTAACAGTTAATCAATTACTTCATAATCTGAACCATATGTTCCCATATTCTTGTAACTGTTGAAATATATACTTCATATATAAAATTTCAAATGATATGTAAATTTAAATCACTTGTTTTTATATGTATAATTATGATAAACAGTAAATATTTTCTGGAAAATTATAATTATATTGTTCAGAAAGTTACCTTGAGAAATGAAATCAACATAGACACAACCTGACCAAGGTGAAAAAATTGTTTTTAACCATAAATATTTCTCTATCTAAATAGTTAACCTAGACATGAAATGAATGGTACCAATTCTCAGACAAGATCTTTAAACACACAAGATGATTAACAGAACAAATGTAAGAACGATAAAAGTAAATGAAAATATTGATAAAAATGCTGTATTCTACTTTGAGTTGTGGTTTTCCGTTTTTTTCTGTCAGCATACCATATATATAATACAATGTATATATCTTTATGTATACATAACTCTATCAATAGTGTCAACAAAATATTTCATTTCAATTGTGGTCTTGGCCAAAATTTAATTGGTAAAGTCATTTAAACAGTGAATGTATAGAAACAATCTGTATTTTTGATCTTAGAAAGAATTTACTAATGTTTATTCAAAGTGGGAGTTTCTCTTGGCTTCAATACTTGTTATCTGAAATAAAATCTGTTTTGAAACAATTTGAATATTTTTGCTACCATTTAACCTCGGACAAAGTCCCATTTAATCGTTGCTGTTCATTTTTTCATGGAAGATCAGATTTTTTTCAGCAGTTTGTCACATTCACTCCCACTGTGAAGTCTTGTATTCTCAAACCAGTCACTTATCAATACACTGAACTGGTTCTAGCAAGTGACCAAATACCTTGTACCTATATCAAAAATTTGGGGTCTTTGCAATGAAAAATTGAAGAAATGAAATAACCTTCTTTTCACTTCTTCAGTCTAAAATTTTGATGAAATTTCATATTTGCAGGATAAGCCTTGTTTACATTTTTATACACTTTAAGGATCTTCCAAATATTATGCATACAAGTTAGAGCAGAAGTTAAATTCAACGGGAGTTTCTTGTTCTACACCTATTTCTCTAAATGCTTTCCACATCCTAAATCTTTCAAAATAACGGGAATCCATCTAATTGCTAACCTGCTTTCCTACAATGTAACCTTGACCAATTGTGAATCTTACATGTAAAGATATAAATATATCTACCTCAAACATGGCTCTTCCTATCTTTTTAAATATTTTTTTCAACCTTATGTCATTGTAACCTTAAATTACATACTACTCTACTTGTCAAATATACACATCAGTCTTCAGTACAGAAACCCTTTCATTAGTCAACAGTGAATATTTTTCTTTTTGCTGTGACTTGAAGCACTGAAGTTGTTTTGGTAATTTCTAAGCACAAACTGTAATTTTTTTTAGCTGCAAATGCACACTTTTTCAGTGTGACCAAATACGTTCTCTTAGCATGCACTGAAAGGCATTAAGAACTTCACAAGAAACAATCCAAGTCCTTAGTCAAATATCTTTGCATTTATCTTCAATATTTCACATTTTCACTGTTTTTCTTCTAAGCAAATTCTGCCTCTACTTCTCTGGCTTTTTCTTCATATTTATACGATTTCCATATACTTCTAACTTGGGGAATACTTCAGCTGCTGATGAAGTTCTCTCCTGGCTAGAGTGACTTGCAAAGCATGGGCTAGAGCGTCATTATCTTTAAAATTGTCTATATCTTCATTTTTATAAAAATATATTGGTCAATCATCTTTACATGTGTTCTTTTCCCCATATCTGAATATCTGACATACCATGAAAGGGGTCAACAACTGTTTCAGAAAGTAAATATGTGTGACTCAACAAAACAGTGGTGGGCACTATAATGTCACCACTGCACTGTCCTGGTCTTTTTCACTTGTTGTTGGGCTCGTATCATTTATCAGTTGCGTATGGTCCTTCACATCATCATCTTCCTCCTCAACAATACGAATTTCATCACTTTCCTGAGAAGCCACGGAAACGGTGGACCCCATAGACATCTGAGAGGCGTGCGACATTTGCGAATCGCGTCCAACACCTCCTCGTTTCGGTACAGGATTGTTCCTCTGATTGACAGGTTTGACAGTGATGATGAGGTTGGAGCTATTAGCCACCATCATGTCAGTCACTTGGTCCAACGTTTTGCCCCCAACCTCAATACCGTTTACCTCCAGAACCTCGTCGTTCACAGCTAACAACCCCGTGCTCTCGGCCAGACCACCTGGCACCAACCGAGAAATAAAAATTCCTGGTACCTTTTCCAGTCCATGAGGGGTCACCCGTACACTGGTGCCATCCCGAATGTAAAAACCTAGAGGCTTGTCTGAACCGTTTTTGCATAGTTTCACTCTTCTGTGAGTCTCAGGTACAATGTCTACGTCAATAATGGCCGACACCCTCCGAAAATCCTCTGGCAAGCTAATAGCGATGTGAGGCCTTGGCTTGACTTCTTCTTTGATAAGCTTACTGATGATTGGATTGCGACGCTTCCCAAACGTTCCATAGCCATTGAATTCTGCCCAGCTTTCTCCTGAAATATTGAATTAACAATATATAATGCCATCATGGTTTTAAAAAGTTAAATTTCTTCACACAGAAATTTAACAATACAATATTCCTTTACAAGTTCTCTTTATCAACTAAAGAATAGACCAAGAACTATATAACATAAAAATGTTACAACTCATGTGAGAAGACAATAAAAAATATATTTCTGATGTCACAGAATTACTTCTTACTCAATTTTGCTTAATTCAATAATTAATATAGTACTCAAATTTATTTTTACATTCACAGAATCAGAATCCAATGGGAAACCCATGTCCTCAGATTCCATTGTAATCTAAGCAGTTCACAATACACATACCATTCCTCTTACTCCAGTTTAATAGCAAACTGTTTACCCAAACTAAGCACCCAGAAGAGAATATTTAGACAAATGTACAGCTTTCCCCAAACAACCTAAATCACAAACCCACAATTTAACAACTCTATAAACCATTAATATCTAGGCTTACAAAGATAACATTCTATCCTATTTATAGATTTATAATGCCATCTAAACAGAAAAGTTCAGGGAAAGGCAATGTATATAACAGTTAGGCAGAATCTGATTAAGAGTTCATGCCTAACTGTTAGATGCTATTTGACATGGTGGCACAGCAGGAAGGCTCTCCTAGGGTCAAAGATGTGAAATGGATAACATAATTTTGGTGACATATCTCTGCAGAAAAAAGGGAAATATTGTGTCTCAGGAGGAGTTTGTTAAGATAATGTCTGTGCTTTATTTGTACTCTACTGTCCTGAAAATTGAGGGGTGAAACCAATGTTAGTGAGAACTGTCACGAATCTGAGTCCAAAATTACTCAAACTTTAGGTGTAATGAAGAAAAACAAATGTATTTAGAAAACAAACAAATCAATAAATAAAAATAAATGAAATAAATAATTCAATATTGGTTGAAATTTGTCCTTTCTCTTTGAAAGCCCAATATTCCTACAGAAACATTCTATAAAGACTGTCTGGAAAGTACCAGAGGCAATGAGCTGGTCTTTTTAACACTGCTTACTAAAAAGAAGATCAAATGGAGAAAATGGCCTTTCTTTCTCCTCTGTAGTTAGGTACACAAGGTGGCAGAGGCCATGACATTCCTTCCTAGATGCTGCTGCATACATAATGGAGACATAATCAGTAGATGAGATATGAATAATGAACATAAATGTCACCCTGCCTAGACTAGTCACTCTGCTCCTTTAGATGGGAATATTGTCCCTCCTTGTGTAATGTATTTAGTACTTCTTTTGAGTATTGAGCTCATTTTTAGCAGAATTCATGCAACACTGATAAATCAAATTTGCACATAGCAATATTTGGTTCATGATAAAGAGTCAATTTCAAAGTTCTTTAAAGCGATTCAAATTTTAAGTACATTTTTGTTTCTAAATGTGATAAAACTTGACAGAAATGAAATATTGGTTGGTGCTTGAAATATGTTGTTGGTATTTGAAATATGTTGATGAGTTATTATCGTGTACAGGAAGAAAAGAAGAGATGCCCCCTGATTACACTCACCGAGTGTACATATTATATATAATGCACATATTATATAAAATTACGACACTGAGTCAACTGGTACATGACGGGACAATAATCCAAATAATCCTCTCAAAAGTACAGCATTGAGAATGAACTAAATACAGGATAGAGAGAGAGAGAGAGAGAGAGAGAGAGAGAGAGAGAGAGAGAGATTGAAAGGGGGGAGGGGGAGAGAGGGGGAGAGATGGAGATGACAAATCACATCCTGACCTAGACAAGCAGCACAAGCCTGTCTTCATAAGTAGACACAACATTGTCCTAATCACATGATATTGTTTTGTATTAATCTTTGTGGAAAGACAATTGTTATCATAATTTTTTCTTGTTTTTCACAGTCAATAATCACTTCCATTTAACTGAACTTTAATACACACTAACTGCCCTCTACCAAATTACTGGTGGCCAAAAGGGTACAAGCCTCCAGCTGACGACAAGAGTTACAACACACACAACGTCCATAGATCTGTCGACTTTCAAAGTGCACACTAAGAACAGAGTAGCATTTTTGCCAGCAGGAAGAAGGCGACATGCCAACTGGGCTAAAAAAAGAAGAAAAAAATGGCAATGGGAAGTGCAACTACCAGGCACCATTATTTTGTCATCATTAATTTTCCTGTAGCAATTTCTTTTGTTCTGATAAAACATTTGGCCAATATGCATATTTTCTGTGTACAAAAATGCTTTGAAATTTTGTAAGAATTTGAATTTCTTACAGGTCTTATGTAATATCTTCAGGGCATTCTAAAGACGAGAAATGTTGAATGCATTACCTCTTGCAACAATCTTTCTTACAAGGAACATTCTGTTATTAGTACAGTTTGTGATTTAGTTGTTACCAACATCTCCTACGTTTTTCAGAGAAAAAGGGACCATTTCATCTGTTTCTAGAAAATTGTATTGTGCAGGAGCAGACCCAGAAATATTTTCTGACAGTCTTCCAAATTATCTTTGTTGATCCATCCTCCATTTCTGACCGTCTTCCGACAGAGTAAAATTAGATACCCATCCATGTAAATTTGAAAATCTGACCGTCTTCCGGAAGACCCAGAAGACCCCCTTAATCCGCCCCTGTTGTGTGTGTAAATATGCTTTTTGTAAATAGAAGATATCACACAGAATATTATGGTTTCATTTTAACAAAATATATCACTTCATCTGTTCTGAGAGAGCATCAGGTTTACACAAGGGATACACATCCGCCTAAGGTGAACTCAAACTGAAGAAGAGACCACCAAGAAGATAGTTTCCTTCCTGTAATCCTTCAACCCCAACCCAAGTTGACTGGAAAAGTTGGTATTTCTGATAGGACCATGCAGACAGCTAGACTGATAATGATCTCCTACAGGTCTGGAGAAATGGAGAGCCTGCAGCAAGTGCACTGAACAGTTTGTGGAGGGTTATCCTGTATGAGGCTCTACCTGGTTTGAGGGAAAGCTTTTTTAAAGAGAAAACATACATTATCTGGTTCATTCTTTCTACAGTTTGGGGTGTGTATTTTGCAAATGAGAGAATAATTTACGCAATGCAAACTGGAACAGGAAAACCCTACATATTTCATAAATAAAATGTTGATCTATTGCCCATGAAAAGAACAATTAATAACTTGGCATGCTGACGAAAATGCTCTGTGATCTCCCAACATTGACAGTATAGGAACAGCTCAAATGATACCAATAACAATTGAACATGAACCGTCTCTCCTCTACAGCTCTCAAAGTAAAAGGTTTTCCATTAAGTCCAATTAAAACAACACCCAGCTGATATCATGCAGGCTTTCCTCTCCAGTCTGACCCTATAGTCCATGTAACACCCTCTCAGGCCAGCTGAGCTGCTAAAACACTGGATTTTAATATCAAGATGCTGGAAGAAACAGGACTGCTTTACACTGCATTGTTAACCTACAAATTAACCAATACACGGGGTCGAAAATGCTAGATTTTTTTCCTCTCATTATTTGGTAGTGCTTGAAATAACTGCAGAAATGAGTTTCATCTTTGAAGACTGAGATGACAGTACGTGTTCTCATGTCAAACAAGGAAAAGGTTGAAAATTTTACAATTAATCATAAGTGGAGTAGATTCTTATTTTGTATATATTCTAAACGCCCTGTCCTGCTCTCATAAACTCCGCCACACACTATATATCTGCTACCATATTCTTTCTGTCAACACAGGCAAACACACCATTTTATCCAATTATGAACAATGGACCCAAGGACCAACAAAATACTTCAGCTCTCAACAACTTTCCCAGCACATGTGTGTCATGCCAGGGCACTTTGTGGCTAAGGTGGCACTTGGGTGACCAGGGAAACAAACTTTTATATAAATATTCTGGGCAGCAGGAGGGCACCTTGTTTATCAAAAGACAAAAAGAATTTTGAAAAAAAAAGTCTTAATTCCACGTTGGTGACTTTCATGAACACACTGCCAAAAAGTACTAGAATGTAGTAAACTTTTACTGCAAAATATATATAATACTAGTAACATCATTTATTGACAGAAATTGGAAGAGGTTGCTTTAAACTTTCATCTTGAAAAAAAAGTTCAGAGAAAAGATTTCTAGTCGAATGCTTTCTGTAGAGGAGTGGGTTGAGGGAAGGTCAGACATCCAGAACCAAAATTAATGACTGAAATATGTCTAAAATGTGAGCTACGTGATAATTTGTCATTTAACTAACTAATGGTAGCCATGGCAACAGCCACCACCCCCTGTCAATTAAAATGTGTAACAAGCGTAAGATTTCCCCACACAATGGAGGCAATAAGGCCAGAACTGCTGTGACTCAGGTTTAACTAGATATAATTAGCTGAAATCTTTTCTCAAATTCCTTGTTTTCCATTCAATGCAAATGTCTCCTTCCAGTGCGAGACAAAATATAATTAGCCTGCATTTCAGCCTTCCCAACAGCAAGGAATTTACTGGGGAAGGTTTGTTGTAGTAGTGCTTGTCACCAGTTTCGTAATTTCTGTTTTTGTGGTTTTACTCTTCCCCTGACAAAAAGTTTGAGTAACTGTAGCCTATAATATAATATAAATGATGAGTAAAATACAAATTTTATTTCTTCACTTCCACCTTCTGACTACCTGTAGCTATTACCATATATGAATCATCAGGTCTGAGTAAAGACCCCCCCCCCCCCCCCACACACACACACACACACACACACTATTCCTCCATCTTAATTTCAAAGTTAGAAATAATCTGGTCTCCCTTACAAAACCAACACCCAAAGTTTTCTCTTTCTGGTAAGAACTGGGCGCTGAAGTCACCAGTTCAACGTCCTTAGGCTATCTGTGTGTAATTGCATTTCTGCAGCAAGCTGAGAAGATCGCATACCACTGGTAGTCTACTGCTTGTGTAGACAACATACACTACTTGGCTTGTAATAAATCTAACTTATCTCTTTATTTTCATAATCATGTAATATTTCCATGCAACACATTACTCTACAGCACAAGTGGAACTTGCTGTGATAATGTCAGACACGAAACAATAATTCATCTTTGTTATCATGGGATGGGTTTTTTTCTTTTGTCTCATGCTACATTTTGTTCCTATTTTACATAAAAGGTACCTGGTCTTTTTCTGTATCATATCTTTTATCTTGACCAAAAAAAAAAAAAAAAAAAAAAAAAAAAAAAAAAAAAAAAAAAAAAAAAAAAAAAAAAAAAAAAAAAAAAAAAAAATTGACATGAAAAGGGAGTACTAATAAATTTTAATGAAGAGATCTATGAAGCAAGTACAATATGTCAAAGAAGATGATATTAGAGATTAGGTTTTTGTAGATCAGGAGCAACTGTTACTGTGATACATTAAATACAAGTCCAGCCACTCAGCAGTCAGACACCTGATCCTAAAAATGTTGAACCAACTCCTTCAAACAGCTCAATACCTGTCTAAATTGGTGTAGAAAGCCCAACTTCATAAGCTGATGAAGGTGTAACCCTAAAGGACGAGGGGCTCCTTGCCATCATAGAGACTAAATTATTGAAGTAAATCAGAGGTGAACTGAGCATTAATGAAGTGGAAATTCTTACGACTCCAATCCCATGATTTCACCCCAGTAATACTGGTCCAAGGCAAACACACCAGGACACTGGATAAACACAGACTGAAGAGCCTGTGGAGAGGTCTACATAACGCTGAATATATACCCTGTACCAACCACAGACCATATTCACTCAGTCTTTAACATTGGTGCCACAGCCATAATCTATCTAGCTAATTGGTGCATGTTTGACATGCAGTATTGCAATCAAGTTGACCATCTTTTCTATAGATGCAGTGTACTTAATTAAGTTCTGAGAAAAGGTACAATCAGCACTACATTGTGATAATGGAATGATTTTTACATAGATTCATCAATGACAAAAGGAGTGGAAGTGATACCTACTACAAGCCCAGAGCTAGAAATTTCAAAGGAGGGGGTGGGGTGGTCTTCTGAAAAATGGACCTACTACCATAAAACCTTCCTGTATCAGCCCCATGTACCTGCATCAAATTTTACCTTTTCCCAGGCAAAGAACACTTCATTCGACCCCCCCCCCTCCAACATCCCCACCTGGGAGAGAGAGAGAGAGAGAGAGAGAGGGGGGGGGGGGGGGGGGGTGGACCAAAACCAAAAAAGCCCCGGGGAAGTTTTATCTTTTACCTTTTTTTTTTCCCCAGGGGGGGCCCCCAACCCTTTTCCAAAA